TCTGTATTAACAGTATGCTTAAAAAATATCCAATTATTTATTGAGTGCAAATCCTATAATTTTTATTTTATTAGATAAAATTCAATAATATTACAATCAAAATGCTCATATTTTCGACATCTATCATATACCAAAAGTTATTATGTAAAAGTTTGCTAAAAATTAAGATATCACAATTTTTGCAAGTTTTGATCAAATTAAAATGCATAAAATATAAAATATCTAAAATTATTGAAATTAAAAATAGAGTAATAGTTTCCTACAATAACACAAGCAAATTATCCAATAGGGCCGGCCGATGAAATTGCTCTATGACCTCCAAAACTTAAGTTTTCTTTTTTCTCACCTCCATTTTTTCTCTTCAATTTTATTTTTGGTTTTGTGTTAAACCAAATTGAAGATGAGGAAGTGAGTTATATGGTGCAGGTAATGACTTAAAATATTTATAAAAAAATAATAATATAAATATAATTATATAATTTATTCAATTTTAAATATAAAATTTTAAAGTCCAAAAAATATAGAAAAATATCTATAACATAGTCCATAATGTTAAAATTTTGTTGTTGAAATCAGTTTATTAAACAGACATTCAACAGTACTAAAACCCCACACTATACTGACATGTGATAATTTCTTAAGAATTTGTATCAATACCCAAAAATCAATAAATGCTTAGTGTAATTAAAGCACTTCACTATCTATATTATGACAAACACGAGTTGTGAATTAGATAGCTCCTGAAAAATTTATTTGATTGAATCAAAATATAAGTTACTACATATGCTCTTGGAGTCCTAGCTGTACCAAGAGAAAGATTGGTCAAACTTAATGGTATATAAGAGCAATTAGCTTGCTTGGATCCATTAACAGGTACAATAACCCACCAAAGCAATCTTAATTCCATGTCATTTCATAGGGTAGCCATGATGGAACAGCTGCTGCCCACGCGCTCGCCCGCTCACCAGCACCCGCTGACCGCTTGCGCTTGCCCGCTCGCACTCCCCTGCGCGACCGCTGGTGCTCGCCCGCGAGACCGCTCGCGCTCGCCAACGCGTCCGCTCGTGCACCAGTTTCAGGTCAACCCATGTCGGGTCAGGTCCGGGTTCGGATATCCGACAATTTTACCTACTCGGGTTGGGTTAGGGTCGACCCGTTTGAATCCGGGTCAATTCTAAATTTGACCTGAACCCGACCCGTGACCCGAAATTGATACCCCTAATTTGGATACCTCAAATCAGTCTATAGGTGAGTTAAAATTGGGGAACCATAATTAGTTTCATAAAAAATTAGTTTCATAACTAGTTGAAACAAGTGGCCCCTTCCGACCTCTTCCTCTCATGGAGGTGCAAGCTCACGTACGTGGACTCAAGGTGATGACTGCCACAAGCCGATCCGATCTAAGCAGGTCCAATTTCCGTCGGTAAAGTACGGCCCTTCTGCGATCCAGTTTGATTGATTTTCTCGTTGACATTTTGCTCTCCAACTAATATCCATATGAAGGTGCTAGAATAGTTGATTTGGGGCAGGACATCTGTTGGGATTTTTTATGATCCCAAGACATACAAACTTTGTCTTTGACATTATTATTACTAATTTCCCAAAAAAAAAACATTATTATTACTTTAATGATCCTTTTATTGTCCTATTATCTGCTCCCTTTTGCCCATTGTAATTTTTTTTATTTAAACAAATTTTTTAGTAATACTAAAAATTTAATTTTTTTTACAAAAAATAATTTTAAGAAGTAATAAGAAAGCTGTCTCAAATGAAATTTTAGAGATAAATGCTCTTCTACTACATTAGCTTTATTTGGACGACTTTTTATTATCAAGTTATGGGGACCTCAAGACTACCAAATTCTAACTTTTCGGGTCATTTAGGAAGATAACTATACTTGAACATTAACAACTACTATGATTTTTGTGATTATTATGAGCTTTTTTCGGGTATTTATTTTTATCTTCTTTCTTTAATATAAATATAATATTTTGTACTTCCTCCACCGCATCTTTCCATTAGTCAAGGGTGAATCCGACCTTTTTTTTAGGGTGACCAAACTCAATATATTCATCTGGCTGTGTCGACGTGTCTACTGTTACGTGTGTAAAGAGGCAGAAAGAAGACGTTAAGGACTCAAGCAGGAGTTGGACAAATGCTTTAGATTAGCGGGCAAAAAAATAAATGTAGCCGAGCAAAAGGTCGAAACTACCCCTCCTCTTATTCATTTTTACAAATTTGCCCACCCTGGAGGCTACGTGGATCCGCCATTGCCCGTAATTCTCTTATTTATGAAAATTATAACACTTATATAATAAAAAGAGGCAGAAAGAAGACGTTAAGGACTCAAGCAGGAGTTGGACAAATGCTTTAGATTAGCGGGCAAAAAAATAAATGTAGCCGAGCAAAAGGTCGAAACTACCCCTCCTCTTATTCATTTTTACAATTTTGCCCACCCTAGAGGCTACGTGGATCCGCCCATGCCGGTAGTTCTCTTATTTATGAAAATTATAACTTGTACAATAAAAAAATTATCAATGAATACGCCAGACCTGCTCTCAAATCTTCCAAAAAAAAAAAAAAAGTCCCAACCCCATTTGTCTTTAAACTAAAGGACCCCATAGTTTCACTAAGAAGAACAACTGACCATTTCTCCAGAAAATCCATTAAAGTAAACTATAATGCTGCTTCTTACGTTCTAATGCAGTCTCCTCCGGCCGATCATTTCATCGTCCAGCTAATGCAAGGACGGCATCAGCTTCCGGGAGAGGGAAACAAACAATTTTTTAAGTATATGGAGCACGTCGACAAACATTACAGCTAGTCCTGTAGATGAAGCCATCGATGATAGGAAGCCAGTAGAGCACGTGCATGCTGCAAGCCAGTTAGACCGCGAGGATCCGGCAGAGGATCCCCAGGCACAAACTTGAATGGGAAATTATCTCATCGGATATGCTTCTATGTTATTTTCTATATATTTAGATAATAGATATATGCTCCATGCTGCAAATATTGTATTTTTAAATGAGTTCACATTTTAAATGTGATGTGGGTGTGCCAACTACTCATGTCGCATTAATATTATTGTCTTTCTTGAATCATGATTAAGTACAATTTTTTATGCAATTTTTTTTTTAATTTAGGTTTTATTTGGGATAATTTTTTAATATTTTTTGAAATAATTTTTAGTATAAAATTTTCTTGAAAGCTTTTAAGAAGCAGCGGCAAAAGCTGCCACAAACGAAGCCTTTGGGATTGTTTGGTTTGCTATGAAAGTATTGGTGTTTGGTTTGAAGTAAAAGGAATTCACCTTTTAGTTCAAATCCGGTGCATTTGGAATTCCTCTAATCTAGGCGATTTCCAAATACATGGAAACTCACCTCCATTGCCACCATCACTTGTTGCTGCCCGTCGATCATCGTCGACTGCCACCGACCATCGTTAGCCATAGCCGGCTGCCGCCGCCCGCCAGCTGTCGGCCACTGTCTGCCTCACCAGCCGCCACCATTTTGAACTTACATTGCATCCAATTTACTTCAAGCCAAACTAAAAAAGTAAAAACTTACATTTATTTTACGGTCATCTAAACAATTACAAAATATTTCAAATGCACAACATTCCTTTTTCAGCCAACCGAACAGCTCCTAAATAATACTTAAGAATATGAATTGAAAATTTTCAATATAATTTCAAGGGTTAAATGTCATCCACATTTTATGTTTATGGACAAGTGAGCATTTCGATGAGATGAATCTAACATACTAAATATCACATAATTTTTTGATCGTTAAAGGCATTATGACAATCTAAAAAAAATTATAGGTATTCATTTAAATTGTTCCGTGGAGTGTCCTTGTTCAAGGTGAAACTTATCATGACGCCACTCTCAAAATCTATATATAGATATGCTTTTATTCATTTAAGAAATATCCAAAGGAGATAATTCTAACACTTGGAGAATTTTAGAGCTCCATACACTATCCACGATGCATGGTGTCATTTTTTATTGTCGACTGACCATAACATCTATCGTCAACTATTCTAAAAGTCTATTGTTCGCATCAACGAGCATTAATGTCAATCATCAATTGTCCAAGAGGTCTAGCATTGACTATAACAGTGTCAGTCATCAACTGACATTGATGTTCAACCTTCATTCCTGTCCTCCTTTGCCTGTCTATCGTAGCTCGTTATTGACTAATATGTACCATCACTTGTTGCTTTCACAATTTAACAACTTTTTTTATCTCCTTCATCAAAGAACCATTAAATATTTCATATTTTATAATCATGCCTTTCCTAATAATAAGAAAATGAAGAACCACAAAAAAAACATTTCTCTTACATAGTTGAACTATCCAATTGAGTTAGATCATGCTAATTTTCTCTTTCTTTTTGTTTCAAAGTAAAAGAAATTTGCTCTTCTTATAAACTATAATTTACTTATTTATATGCATGCAATGCAAAATTTGTATTTGATGCTAAACTGATAAAATTTATCAGATTCAAATTTAATAGCTAAAATCACAAAGATATATTAAATTAATAATACTTAGAATAAAACTAAATAAAAAAGATTATACTGGAAACAACTTTACATTTAACTCTACAACCTTTCAACATAAATATCTTATATCTATATTTGCATAAAAAACTAATTTATATATGATAAAATAATTATTCAAAATTATAAATCTTATATCATAAAAATATTGGGAAGGAGATAAATGCCATCTGCAAATTCTTTGATTTAATTATAGATTTTAAAATTAAATATTCATAAAATTTAAATTAATATGATTTTTTAAATAAATACAAAAGATTCTAACTGAAACGCATTTAAACCAAAAGAACCCGCTTTTGGGCCGAATGGTTGAACCCGGTTGAGAGGGGTCGATAGGTGCGGTTCCGTATAGGGTCAAACCGGTCTGGGATATTATGAAGAGTGGGGCCAAAGTGAACCAAGCTCATTTATCATTACCATCCTCCGTTAAATTTGTCTCCCAAATCTGGACACAGCAGAGCACGTACTGCGCCCGTTTCGGCTGCTGATGGTGTCCAAAAGTAAAAAACCAACGCTTTTGGACTTGGCTCTCCGGCCGCGGCGGATTAGACAAGGCATCAGAACTTTCGCCGGTCGTGGCCGCCCTTTCTCTCTGCTTTCATGAGATTCTTTCCTTGCTGCTTTAAATTCTATGTATGCATTTATTTTATTTATTTCGAATCGATTGGCTGCAGACCGTCCGATCACTCGGATTGTTTGTTTGATTCTTTCGATTGATTTGAACAGAGTCATTCAACTATTTCGAAGCGATTGATCCTTAGGCCTGCGTTTTAAGAGGCGCCATTAATGCGTTTGAGATGGGAGAAGGAGTTGAAGGAGAGGAACTGCCCAGCCTTCTTCTTCAAACTTATCTCTGTTGCTTCCTAACGGTCGCTGTGGAATAGGTACGATGCCGTTCTCTTTTGCTAGGGTTTTTTTTGTTGATTTAGTTCCATGGGTATGGGTCTGGTTTTAGCTTTTTGAGGGGAAGGAAACGGGTAGCCTAGAACGCCGTGCCTCCCGCTCGTGTCTGTCGTTCGTCTGCGTGCTGCTGGCTTTGCCGCGGCCATGTGGTTGTGATCTCGAGGCGATTCAGCTGCATCGCTTCCTCCTCTCTCTCTCTCTCTCTCCCACTTTCTCTCTTGTGCTTTGTTTTTTTTTTCTATTTACTCCGTGAGGTGGGAGTGCGAATGGGCGTGCTTTCGTTTTTTTTTTTTTTATAATTTCGTTTGCTCTGTGCTTTTCGGTTTATATTACTCCCGTTGTTTCTCTCGTTTCTGATGCTCGGAGATCGACTGTTTCGTATGCTTGGAATTTACCGAACCAACGCGAACTAGCTGGGATTGTTGTCTGGATTGCATGGAATTCGAGGTAGGGGTTGCAGGAATGGCCGCTTAGTTTTTCTGTTCCCCGTTGATTCTTGCAGTTTCTGTTTTTATATTTTTTTTCTTAAACATTAAGTGTGCAGAACAGAATTTTTGTAAAATGTTTTAAAATTTTCATTTATTGCCCATCGTTATGTGTGTGTGTGACTTTATGGTAGTTGAGTTTACTTTCTTATGAGATCAAGGATTTTTTTAACCTAATTAATATAAATTCACACACATCACATATATATAAATTTTGAAATCAAAATCTCTTAATTGGATAGTCAAAACTCTCAACCAAGATCAAGATGAGCTGCCTGAGATCAAATCTAGGGTTCTAATCGCTTGAAAAAACAATAATAAGTTTCTTATTTTGGAGTTTTCTTTCTAACCCCTTTATACCTGTGTATCTGTTCGCTTGCCCCTTTTTTAATATTTGATTTGATTTCTGGAAGTAATAGGGAGAGTAGATGTGGCTCGAGGAGATGCTCTGGAAGGAAAGAAGCCTTTTTTTTAGAAGTATTTTTCCGATTTCATGAAAAGACTTGTATTTGAATAAGGACAATGGGGCGTCGCTTTTTTCATGAGTGGAGGTTAATTGAGCCCTGCTGCTCTACTTATTCTGATTGTTTTTGTATTTACAAAGTTCAGAAGTACATTAGCTCTCTTTTATGTTTTCGAAGAGGTTTTCTTCTCAACGCAAATAGGAAGTGCTTTTTACTTTTTGCGTTTTGTCTTCTTTTTTTCGTGAGTTTGGTCTTTCCTTTTGTTCTACTTCCACTAGGTGATTCATGAGGTCTTCTCTGTACACTGTTGAATATATAGAGAATTTGCTATTTGTTTTGCAATTTAGGAGATCCATTGCAGAGTTTTTGGTCTCTGGTTCTTTTCTTTTTTTCTTTTTTAATTTTTTCCTGATCTACTTTAAGTCGCTTTATTTTTGTATTATCAAAGTTGTACTTTTCTTTATGATTGTCACTGTTGTGTTGTCATCCATTTAAATTCATCCTTACTGCCATTTTTTTTTTTGCAGTTAAACTTTTGTGGTGTGAAGAAGAAGACGAGGTCTAAGAGGCTTTACTGGCATGCAAAATCACGGTTTTTCCTCAGATCCAGATGGTTTGGGTTCCTCAATGGTGAATGATTGGAAGTTTGGAAGTATTTCTTAGTAAAAATGCAGATGTCCAATGTGGACGGAGAAGTCTTCTTTGACTCACTGGACAACAATAGGAATTCGGTTGACTCTATATCTTCTTTTTTCTCCGTAGATGAAGACCTTGAAACTAACCTCAGAATTTTAGATCCTCAATTCTGGACTAGCGACATGATGTCCGTTAGTGAAAGAAGAAAAAATTTTGCGCGCTTGATGGGTTTTGATGAGTTTGTTTCTTCTCAGGAAGTATGCTCTCTTGATCCAACAGAGCCTTTAAGTGATATCTCTGCAGATCAGATTGAGCTGGAGAGACTTTCGGAAAGTAGTGGTGCTGCGTTGAATTCTTTCTCAACAACTAATGATGGGGGTGTAGGAGATTCTCTTTGTTGCATAAGGGATCTGGATAGTGGAAAAAAGTTTACTGTTCACGATACAGGAGAAAATGGTCTGTCTGCTTTGATCAGAGAAGCTGGTTCAGGAAAATTTTTGACGTTGAAGGACTTTGAGAAGTTACTTGGACTATCTTGTCATGTTCTTAAGCTGATGCAGAGAGAGCAAGCTTTTGGAGATAAATATGGTCAAGGCTTCTCAGGAAGTAAGAAACCGCTTAGCAGCTGGTGGAGAAGGTTTATCTCTAAGAGACCTACTGCAGGCTTCTGTAAGAATGAAGTTTCCATTAAAAATTCTCAAGTACCTCGACCTATGACAACTAAGGTTCAGCAACATCGGAAAAGTTGTAGAGAGCTCACGGCATTGTTTACTGGGCAAGAAATCAAAGCTCACAAGGGCTTGATTAGAACCATGAAATTTAGTCCGTCGGGATGCTACATTGCCAGTGGTGGTGAAGATTGTGTTGTTCGGATCTGGCAGATCAGGGAATTGGAAGCTTTTTGCAAATGCTCCATTGCTGATGGCTCTGCTAAATTTATTGGTAAAGTTGATAGTAGCAAATCCTTAACTGGAAGGAAGGGTTCTGACTCTGCGCCGATTGTTATTCCAAAGAAGGGTTTTAGGATCATGGAAACTCCACTTCAAGAATTTCATGGACATACTAGTGACATCCTTGACCTTTCGTGGTCTAATTCTAACGTAAGCCATTTTTTTATCTTCATTGAAATCTTCATGGACATACTAGTCACATTTTCTTATTATTTTATTCTTGATTATTGAGATTTGATCAAAAAAAAATATCATATGAAAAGGTTGGAGTAGCTCCCATGGAAGATAGGATTAGAGAGAGTTGTCTTAGATGATTTGGTCACATTAAACGGAGGCCTTCCGATGACCAAAGTTGAGGTATTAGATTTGACTTGTGTTAAGAAAGGTAGAGGTAGAGCTAAAAAGACTTGGTTAGAAAATATTAGAAACGATCTTTTTTTTATTAGATTTAAATGATAATTTAACTTTTAACATGACACAATGGCGAAAAAGAATTCATGTAGTCGACCCCACGTAGTGGGACAAATGCTTGATGTTGTTGTTGTATCTTATTTATCTTCTCGAGTCTATTTGCATATGATATTTTTATGGCTGAGGTTGTAATATCTTGTTGCAAAGTATCTATCAAAATTTTTATTAGTTTTTATTTTTTTTCTTGCAGTGTCTTCTTACGTCTTCCATGGACAAAACTGTGCGAATGTGGAAAGTTGGTTTTGATGGATGCCTTAAAATTTTTCAGCACAATGATTATGGTAATTTGTAAACTTTGAACATGTCATATACTATTTTTCATATGGATTTATATCTTTTAATGCAGATGAGCTTAGATTTATTTTCATTTTGGTTTCATTTGGGACAGCTTTCTTACTATTTCTTAAAGCAGCTTTTTAGTACAAAAAAATTAATTTTTATACTAAAATACTGTTTTAAGAAGTAGTAAGAAAGCCGTCCCAAACGAAGTTATCATATAATATCATGTTTTTGCAATTTAAATATCATGACCTTTCGTTGTTTGAGGATTTTCTATTTTCTCATATGCCTCTTTGTAAATATATATGCTCCTTTCCTAAAATTTAGGCTTCGTTTGGGGCAGCTTTTTTACTACTTCTTAAAGCAGCTTTCTAGTAAAAAAATTTAATTTTATACTAAAAAGTTGTTTTAAAAAACAGTAAGAAAGTCGTCCCAAACAAAGCCTTAATTTATAATTTGGCTTGGTTGTTAGGATTTAATCTTGAGTTTAGGCTTTGGTACAAGATATCCCCCTAGCAGGCTAGCACCATAGTTTATTCTTGTGTAATAGAAATGATAAGAAATATTTATCTTTTTTTTTTTCTATGAAAGTATTATTCAACCAGTGCAATCTCTCAAGTTGTTTTTGAATTTTCCAATGGAAATCAGTGACTTGCATTCAGTTCAATCCTGTTGATGAAAGATACTTCATCAGTGGCTCTATAGATGGAAAGGTTCGCATTTGGAGTGTCTCTGAAAGTCAGGTGGTTGATTGGGCTGACATTCGTGATATCGTTACTTCTTTGTGCTATCGACCAGATGGAAAGGTTGCTTTCTAGCAAGCATTTCTCTGTTGAAATTCTTTGTGACAATTTATAATGCTATTATCTACTTATGATCTAATACTTTCTAATTCTCTTTTTTTGTTACAGGGATTTGTTGTTGGCTCCATTAATGGAAATTGCCGCTTTTATGTCTACTCTGGTATTGTACATTTTAAATGCAGCGTTTTGTTTTTTTTCCTTTATTTCATAGTTGCCTTCTTTTTTAGTGCATGCCAAATACTAGCTGTTGATCAATTTGTTAAATCCCTGTGTACAGGTAATAGCATCAGATTGGATACACAATTCTGCATTGAGGGTAAGAGAAAATCTGCTGGAAAGCGAATTACTGCACTGCAGGTGAGAAATCTGAGGGCATTCTCATCCTCCACATCGCCTGGGAAAATTATTAGATTTGGACACCGGACATAGAGATAAGTCCGGACATCCACTAAAAATTTGACATGTGGATTGCACTTTAGTTGCGTTTTTTTTTGTGCGCTTTAGTTCCGCATCACCTGCGCTTTTTTACTGAGCTTTACTTGCGTTTTAGTTTTTGATTTCGGTGTGCTTGGCTTAAAGTTCCTCGGACACATTAAACATATTGAATATCCACGTGTCCACTCCACGTGCCAATATTTTATTGACGTCTAGACGTATCTCTACGTCCGGTGTCCGGAACTAATAATTTTCCCATCGCCAGACAAGTATTAACATAACTTTGCTATCATTGCAGTTCTCTCCTGAAAACCCAGATAAGGTGATGATTACCTCAGCAGATTCCAGAGTTAGAATCTTCGATGGGCTTGGTGTTGTCCACAATTTCAAAGGTGATAATTTATATTCTCTGACATGTTTGATTGGAGCTTGAACTGTAAAAAAATTTATACTTTCAACCAGTGGAAAATTTTATTTTATTTTCGTTTTCAGCTTGAGCTTGAACTAGAGCTTCTTCTAAAATATTCTACAGGTCTTCGGCAGACAAAGAGTCATCTATCCGCTTCATTTACTTCGGATGGACGGTACATAGTATCTGTAGGCGAAGACTCTAATGTCTACGTATGGAATTGTGATTTGTTGAGCAAACCATCTTCCAAAGAAGCCAAATCAATTCGCTCCTTTGAACTCTTCTTTTCTGAAGGGGTATCAGTTGCAGTTCCATGGCCTAAAATGGAGCACAGAACAGCTCCTTGCACCAATGGGCTTCTCCTTCCCTCACCACCTCTTAAAATTTTGGAGCCTTCAACATGGCTATGGGATTCAGATTGTCTGTATTTAGGCTCCTGGCTCTTCAGCGAGGGTGTATCACGCGTTGGACCGGAAGAGAAACTTCCTAAATCACCTCAGACTTTATCAAATTCAGATAATCTCAATAATGTCAATGCGAAGAATGAAATAGTCTATCGTTATCCACAGCTTACTTCTCTTGCAGCCATCTGGAGCTTAGTGATTGTTACAGCCAGCACTGATGGGCGCATCAGATCTTTCCATAATTATGGACTACCTGTATTGTTGTAGCAGATAAAAGAAGTTTTTTGCTTTCTCTATGGCCTGTCGTGGGTCCATTTTTCTGTGCATTGGAAGCTTTTTTTCTGTCTACAGAGCAGAGCATCACATGAGATCTCTGCAACTGCCTCATTTCTTCTGATGCTAACATTTCCAAGAAAGATGACCAGGAAATTGTCCATTGTAGATGAAAATAATCCAGTCAAAGAAATTGTTTGTTGAGTGACGTTCATTTGGAAAGAAACAGGGAAGTGCGTAAGCTTTTTGAGATGTTTTTGGAGGAATGATTTGTTACTCTGTTGAGTAAACATGGACGATCCATTAGAAACAAGTGAGTTTTAGCCTTTGGCGTCCAATTCATATTAATGAGATATGTTGATTCTACTGTTACTGCTATTGATTGCTACTGTATCTTCCTGTGGAAATGCGAACCATTTGACTGCGTGGCTGTTTCTCGTTTCTCGCTTCTCGCGGTGCAGAGATCTGTGCAGAAACAACAGGAAGACGGTGAAGACGCTATGATTCTCCTTTCATTTCATTATTGTTATTCAAAGTGCTCAAAGTAGCCCATTTAGGCTTAGTTTGGGACGACTTTCTTCTTGCTCTTGTAGTTTTCTAGCACAAAAATTTAAATTTTTATATTTAAAAGCTGCTTTAAAAAGCAGTAAGAAAGCCATCTCAAACTAAACATTAATTAGTTTTTATATTAAATGGAAATTTAAAGCACAATTAATTTATTAAACAAAAAATTCTCAAAATTAAGATTATTCGGGTATGGTTAATTTAGCTGAAACTATCATATTGCCTAAATTGAATCTCAGTCATACAAAATTGATCCAAAATTGTCTGTCTTATTGTAATTGTGATATAAATGTGATCCTAATTTAGTCTTTTGATATTGAAAAATTGATTTCAATTTAGTCTTATAGGGATAAATTTGGATTAGTTTTGTATAGTCGATGGATTATAATAGAGTAAAATTATATTTTGCAGGATTATTTTAAAATTTAACCTATTTATTAAATTACTGGGAAGTTTGATGCGGATTAATTGGATATGGCTGAGCCTTGCAAGGGCTGAACTTTGTTAAGCATGGGCTTCCTGCAACTCATTAATGCATTAGTGGGCCCAACCAACACAGATTTTTGGGGCTTTAAAATAACCTTAAATATTATAGTTGGTTATTTTTTTTGGATATGAAACTAGAAATATTAAATATAAAAGTAAATTTGAATTTGAATAAGTGCATATTGAATGAATTAAGTAGTATTGGAGATTAAAAAAAACAGATAAGATCAGCCGCAATTTAACAGAACACATGAGCTTAAATCAAATAGAGACGAGTTCTGCTGCAGCTCACAAGGAGAAGAGTCTAGATGCAGCCCACACGAACACTAAATCACAGTCACTCACATGTAACAAACACAATGAATCACAACCACAAATGTATATATCACAAGGCTATAAGTATCAAAAGATAAGCATGAATCAAGACAATTGGAATGAGACTTAAATAAAAGTCCAGCTTTCTCATAATTACTCCCTGTCCTTCTCTTGTTGCATTTTGTCGTTTCTTTTTGGTATCAGAGCACGGTTCTTGGAGCAGACATAACTGAGAGAACTCAGTTCCTGGAGCATATCAAACTGAGAGGTAAGTCAACTAAAATCTTATCGTGGCTCAATCATTCTCATCCCAAATTGGAAATCCAACAACAGACCCACCCACAGAATCTTGCGCTATACTTGCATCATTGAAATTTATCATTTCAAATATCAAAACTATTGTACCCACCCAATTATCGAATGATAATTATCTAATATGGAAATCCCAAGTAACTAAACTAGTGAGAGCAAACAGCTTCATCAATTTCATAGATTCCAACAACTCTCCACCACCCGCCTGCAGCAAGCACCAGACAGATCATTCACCATCAATCCCAAATACACAGAATGAGTTCTAATTGATCAGAACCTAGCTGCAACCATTTGCTCCACAATAACCTCAACAATCTTACCCTACGTACTTCAATTAGACTCATATGCTGCCATTTGAACTACCATTAAAAGAAGGTTACAACCCTCCAACAGATCCAGAGTCATACAACTCAAAAATGAATTACACAATGTTTCAATGAAACAAAAATCAATGGTAGAATATCTAAACGAAATCAATATTCTCGTTGACAAGATTGTAAGTGCTGGTGCCACCATTGACAAAGAAGATATAATTCTATATACATTGAATGGATTACCTCCAGCATACTAATCTTTCAAAAGTACAATTCGCACCATGGTGCAACCAATTAGTCTTGATGATCTATATGCATTCTTGATAAGCGAAGAAATCAATCACATTGCTGAAGCAGCTATACAACATAACTTCCCAAATTAAAATACAACACTATACTCCACCAGAGGCAGAGGCCGCTTCATAACCCAGAATACTCGATCTACAACCTAACCAGCACCCATATGCCAGATATGTAACAAGAAGGGACATTCTGCCACAACCTATTGTCACATATTCAATATAAACTACACTCCTCCAACACAAAAATCCAATACAGCTCTAACGGCCACCAACGACAACTTCAACCCAGATTGGTATCTAAACTCTAGTGCCACATCTCATCTCACAAATGACATCAGCAACTTAACATTAGGTGATCCTCTCCCATACAATGGAATAGATGCTACACATATTAGAGATGGCAGCACACTCCCTATTGCTCACACTGGAGCTGGGCTGCTACCGACCCCCAACAGTAAGCTCAAATTACCTCAAATTCTATATTTCTCAACACTATCTCACAATCTTCTCTCTATTTATCACCTAACCAATAATAAAAACATCACCATTTCATTTAATGCTTCTGGTTTTACTATCAAGGATACCAAGACTAATAAAACTCTACTGCATGGTCCAAGCCGTAATGGATTATATCCTGTACCAACCCTCTCAATCACCCATCAACATTCAGCTCTCTCTACTATCAACAAACAACAAACTGCTGCCATATGGCACAACATACTTGGTCATCCACACAACCGCACCATAATAATCATCTCCAATACAAACAAACACCTCAAAATACCCACATTCTCTGATTTGTATTCTGCTTGTAAAGTGGCCAAGGGGCATAAATTGTAATTTCCTACTTCTAATTCCAATTATATTATTCCCTTAGAACTAGTTCATTCTGATATATGGGGTCCAGCCCCAATTACCTCTCATCAGGGGTATCGATATTATCTCATTTTCATTGATAACTTTTCCAAATTTCTATGGATTTTTCCCATGAAATGCAAATCTGAGGTGCCATCAATCTTTATTAATTTTCATACCATGATTAAGAAAAAAATACCAACCCAGCCTCATCAAACCCTACACAAGTTCCTTCACCGCCTCAAACCCCCCTATACACCCAATGATAACTTGATTCAAAACTGGATCTCTCAAACCCAAAATAATACTCAACCTCTTACTCCAACAAGCCCAAACTCATAATGAAACAACTCCACATCCAACCACATATCAGGAAGCATCCAGACATCAACATTGGAGACAAGAAATGAACACATAATTTTTCGCATTACAAAAAAAAAAAAGCAACTTGGACTTTGGTTCCTCCCCCATCCAACACCCTAGTTCTTGGCTGCTAGTGGACGTATAAAGCCAAACTCCATTCCAATGGCTCAATAGCCAGACACAAGGCACGATTGGTAGCGCAGGGACATACACAAGAATATGACATTAATTACCTGAAAACATTCAGTCCGGTAGCTAAAATTCCAACCATCAGAATTTTACTCACAATTGCATTTAACAAAAAATGGGAAGTACACCAGCTCGATGTGGCAAACGCATTCTTACATGGTAAATTGACCAACACTATATACATAAAACAACCGCAAGGATATGAGGACACTGAACATCCAAACCATGTATGTCTACTTTACAAGGAAATTTATGGACTTAAACAGGCCTCCAGACAATGGTTTACCACCTTCTCAACATTTTTACAACAAATGGGATTTCAACTGAGCAAAACAAACCCATCGTTACTCATATTCTCACAAGCAGAATCCCAGGTATACCTACTAACATATGTAGACGACATCTTATTCACAAATAACAACTCATCTCTCATATCAAGCATCATATTGAAAATGCATAACAAATTCTCGATGAAACACTTGGGTACCGCCAGTAATTTCCTTGGCATCAACATCACCACTCACAAAAACTCACTTTTTCTCTCTCAACATCAATGTGCCACATATATACTTCATATTGCATGACTCACCTTTTGTAAACCCCTTTTAAATCCCCCATGCACTAAAATACCATAAAATATACTGTATGACTCTATTCTCACTAACCCATACACATACAAATGCATCACATGGTCTCTCCAATACCTCACTATAACTTGACCTAACATAGCATATCATGTAAATCTCCTTTTCCAACATATGCATGACCCGAAACCCCTTCATGCATATCTTCTTAAAAGATTACTAAGGTATATTAAAGGTACCTTAGACTATGGCATACCAATGGCCTCTTCAACTACAATCCTACTCTGACGCAGACTGTGCAAGCGACACAGAGATAAGAAAATTAACATAAGGATATTGTTCTTTTCTTGGTAACACACCGATCTCATGGAGTGTCAAGAAACAACAAACCTTCGCACGATTATCCATGGAGGCGGAATATCGAGCATTAACAGTGGCGATCACAGACATCATCTGGCTATGAAAAATATGTCAAGATTTCAAATTACCGATCTCAAAACCCATAGATCTCTACTGTGACAACACCTCAACCATAGCCCTCGCCAACAATTCGGTCTTTCATGCACGGAAGAAACACATAGAGATCGATCATCATTTCATACGACATCAGATTCACTCGAATATCATTCGAGTTCAACCGATCAGCGCTCAATATCAGACAACAGACATCCTCACAAAACATCTTTCCACTCCGTGCTTTCATCTTCTTTATGCCAAGCTGAAGGTTCACAAGAAACTATCTGCTTGCGAGGGGATAAAAAGAATAGACGAGATCAACCACAATTTAACAGAACAATTGAGCTTAAATCAAATAGAAACGAGTTCCACTGCATTTCTCAAGGAGAAGAGTCCAGATGCAACTCACACGAACACTAAATCACAGCCATTCATCTGCAACAAACACAATGTATTAAAATCACAAATGTATACATCACAAGGCTATAAATATCAGAAAAAAGTAGGAATCAAGACAATTGTAATGAGACTTAAATAAAGTCCAGCCTTCTCATAATTACTCCATATCCTTCTTCTGTTGCATTTTGTCGTTTCTTTTGAGATCCTTTGCCTTGAAATTTTGAAAATTGGAATTAAAA